CGGAGCAAGCAGAACATTGAGGAGATGCCACCGGAGCAAACAGAACATTGAGGAGATGCCACCGGAGCGAGCAGAACATTGAGGCGATGCCACCGGAGCAAGCAGAACATTTCAATCGCTTGTGCATCACTGCTCACTTAGCAGTAAAAACTTGCCCGCGCTCCCGCTGAGGCCTCCACGTGTCACTCCGGGAAGCCTGCGGTGACGGCCTACCGCCCCGCCTGAGCTGGCGTTGGCGATGCGCCAGCTGGTGTCCTCCCGGGCGGTGGGGCATGGTGGTGTGCCGCTGCATGCTGTGCGTCAGTGTTTTCCTGTCCTCGGACCTCATTTACTGAGTCTTGTCAATGTAACAATGCTCTTTTGTCTGTTCCCCACAGCCTGGAGGCTGGCGACTGCCATCTCTCTGCACAAGTGTGGCCCTTGGAACAAGACAGGTAATTTTAGACCCATTGCCATTTAGCCGTTGCTATCTGAAATGCAAGGAAAAACTGTGTACACTCAGATGTCACCATACCTCGTCCAATTCCATAGGTCAGGGCGCTGTCCGTGTACAGACGGGCAATGTCATTCGTCGGGGGACGCCCCGATTGACGTCGGAGGACGCCCCTGCAACAGGCCCGTCAGAGGGCGCTGTCGAATGGATCACGTGTCGTATCGATGCTGGAGATGTTACGTCCATCGACCCCAGTCGTGCCTTCGACAGCAATGATCGTGGTGTTCTGTGCAAGTAGAAATGATATGGCATCGACCTCAGACAGTTTGATGCTACCTGGGTGACCGCCGCAAGGAGTGAAAGGTGGCTCCTTAACTTTGCTACTGTCCCGCAGTGTCTCCCAGAGGTCCTTGCTCAGACGAACCCGCTTCAGCATCTTCACAAACCGCCTATTCTCCTGCAACCTTACGAGCGCCTAGCAGCCTATGCCCATGATACCGAACTGCTGGTTTCGACAATCTCATCACCCTAAGGACTGGCGGGAGGGCAACCAGCGCACTGTTCGAGCCTATTTCACATCTAACTGCTTGAAAATGAGCCCAAACAAGACTTCATTACCCTGTGCTTTCTCGGAACAACCTAAAACTTCACGAACGCCAAACTATTTGATACTGACATGTTCGGCCACAACCTAACGCCATATTCCTTCGTGCAAAAATGCTAAGCTGTACTGATAGTCATTTCCTTTCCTGGGAAGAGCACATCTCCAACGTTACTAAAAAGCGTTGTTCCGTCCTTTTCTGTCTCAGCGAAATTCGACACCACGGCGGGACTGTTGCGGGACTCTCAGGATGGGACTGCTGCGGCACTCTCAGGGCGGGACTGTTGCGGGACTCTCAGGGCGGGACTGCTGCGGGACTGTCAGGGCGGGACTGCTGTGGGACTCTCAGGGCGGGACTGCTGTGGGACTCTCAGGGCGGGACTGCTGCGGCACTCTCAGGGCGGGACTGCTGCGGCACTCTCAGGGCGGGACTGTTGCGGGACTCTCAGGGCTGGGACTGCTGCGGGACTGTCAGGGCGGGACTGCTGTGGGACTCTCAGGGCGGGACTGCTGCGGCACTCTCAGGGCGGGACTGCTGCAGCACTCTCAGGGCGGGACTGCTGCGGCACTCTCAGGGTGGGACTGCTGTGGGACTCTCAGGGCGGGACTGCCGCGGCACTCTCAGGGCGGGACTGCTGCGGCACTCTCAGGGCGGGACTGCTGCGGGACTCTCAGGGCGGGACTGCTGCGGGGCTCTTAGGGCGGGACCGCTGCGGGGCTCTTAAGGCGGGACTGTTGCGGCACTTTCAGGGCGGGACTGCTGCGGGGCTCTTAGGGCTGGACTGTTGCGACACTCTCAGGGCGGGACTGTTGCGGCACTCTCAGGGCAGGACTGCTGCGGGGCTCTTAGGGCGGGACTGCTGCGGGACTCTCAGGGCGGGACTGTTGCGGGGCTCTTAGGGCGGGACCGCTGCGGGGCTCTTAGGACGGGACTGTTGCGACACTCTCAGGGCGGGACTGCTGCGGCACTCTCAGGACGGACTGCTGCGGGGCTCTTAGCGCTGGACTGTTGCGGGACTCTCAGGCGGGACTGCTGCGGCACTCTCAGGGCGGGACTGCTGCGGGGCTCTTAGGGCGGAACTGTTGCGGGATTCTCAGGGCGGGACTGCTGCGGCACTCTCAGGGCGGACTGCTGCGGGACTCTCAGGGCGGGACTGTTGCGGCTCTCTCAGGGCGGGACTGCTGTGGGACTCTCAGGGCGGGACTGCTGTGGGGCTCTTAGGGCGGGACTGCTGCGGGGCGTTTAGGGCGGGACTGTTGCGGGACTCTCAGGGCGAGACTGCTGTGGGACTCTTAGGGCGGGACTGCTGCGGGGCTCTTAGGGCGGGACTGCTGTGGGACTCTCAGGGCGGGACTGCCGCGGCACTCTCAGGGCGGGACTGCTGCGGCACTCTCAGGGCGGGACTGTTGCGGGACTCTCAGGGCGGGACTGCTGCGGCACTCTCAGGGTGGGACTGCTGTGGGGCTCTCAGGGCGAGACTGCTGTGGGACTCTCAGGGCGGGACTGCTGCGGCACTCTCAGGGCGGGACTGCTGCGGCACTCTCAGGGCGGGACTGTTGCGGGACTCTCAGGGCGGGACTGCTGCGGCACTCTCAGGGTGGGACTGCTGCGGGACTCTCAGGGCGGGACTGTTGCGGCACTCTCAGGGCGGGACTGCTGTGGGACTCTCAGGGCGGGACTGTTGCGGGGCTCTTAGGGCGGGACCGCTGCGGGGCTCTTAGGACGGGACTGTTGCGACACTCTGGACTGCTGCGGGGCGCTTAGGGCTGGACTGTTGCGGGACTCTCAGGCGGGACTGCTGCGGCACTCTCAGGGCGGGACTGCTGCGGGGCTCTTAGGGCGGAACTGTTGCGGGACTCTCAGGGCGGGACTGCTGCGGCACTCTCAGGGCGGACTGCTGCGGGACTCTCAGGGCGGGGCTGTTGCGGCACTCTCAGGGCGGGACTGCTGTGGGACTCTCAGGGCGGGACTGCTGTGGGACTCTTAGGGCGGGACTGCTGCGGGGCTCTTAGGGCGGGACTGCTGAGGGACTCTCAGGGCGGGACTGCAGCGGCACTCTCAGGGCGGGACTGCTGCGGCACTCTCAGGGCGGGACTGCTGCGGCACTCTTAGGGCGGGACTGCCACGGCACTCTCAGGGCGGGACTGCTGTGGGACTCTCAGGGCGGGACTGCTGCGGGGCTCTTAGGGCGGGACTGCTGTGGGACTCTCAGGGCGGGACTGCTGCGGGGCTCTTAGGGCGGGACTGCTGTGGGACTCTCAGGGCGGGACTGCTGCGGCACTCTCAGGGCGGGACTGCTGTGGGACTCTCAGAGCGGGACTGCTGCCTGCCATCTGCACAGGGCACAGAGAGTGGTGAGCTACGGAGCCAGGGTCGTGTCGGGTGCTCGTGCTGACGTTCATATCTTGCCTACCGGGGAGACGCTGGGTTGGAGCGTGTGCGCCACCTACAGTGATCCCACTGGTGTGTTCAGGGCGCTGGGAGATCTGTGTGCTATCGAGGCGATCCAGTCGCTTACCAGGCGTGCTCATGCGTCACAGCGCAGCACCGGGGGATATGTTGGCAGGCAAACTGGAGCCGCCGGTTCTTACCATGCTGATGCTGCGCCAGCTTGCTTTCTCTCCGCGCAACATCGTCGTGATGCTGCTTGCTGCCGCCCATCACTGGCTGTCGAACACCCAATGAATTGGTCAGTTACCACGACCGTGAGCTGAGACGTGAGCAGTCGCCAATACAGCCCGACTGCGCGAACCGCGTTGCAAACCATGTCTATCGGTACTTACCTGTTTGCATTGTCATGACCTGACGTGATCTTGACCAAAGAAATAAAAAAACTCTTCAATTGGTCCCGCAGTGTTAGTTTCAATGGCGTTCATGCGGTGGATCATTATGAGAGATTGTTGTGAGTACAGGTGCCATCTTTCTCATACAAAAGAGCAACTGGATATATTTGGTCTAGCAAAGATTTCGAAAATGCATACCCTTCCCCACCGATGACCTGACTTCTCACCCTCACATGCAGTCAGACCTGATATAACTTACGTTAAGTTCATGTATATTTGTAACATAAACGAGTAGCATGTCCTAGTTGTCAACAAGTAAACTGCATCGTCGGTTGGCAACAAACCTCACTGTCATAACCCTCGCAACTGAGTGATCAGTCGCGATCTATTAGGAAAAAAAATGCTTAAAAGGCTGACAGCATGGCTATAAGTATCATAGAGTCGACTGCTGAAAAAGCCAGAATACTATTTTGAACACGCGCTCGGATGGAGAGTGGGCCAGTTTGAGCAGCCTCGTCTGAGGTTTTCCCAGCACTACTTCCGAGCAGCGCGGCATTGTCCCGCCAAGCTTTATGCAGCTGTAACCATTTGAACAGTCAGTCCCTCGGCGTAAGCAATTAGGTATTCCTTACAAGGTCGCTAATCTGTAGTAGGTCAAGGTGGCCAGGTAATGACTGTGGGCTTAGGCAATTTCAAGGGAATATTTCAAATTGATGCAGCAGTGGCCGCATGCCAGACGAAATCATGCAACTTTGAGATGGTGTCCTAGACAATTAAACAAATGAAATGGTAATTTCAACCAATTGCGTTGACCTGGAGTAAGAAAGAAGGCCAGATCAACTTAAAAGTCAAATTGCTTTTTTATCAGCAAACGTGTGTCAGAAGGTTTTGGGCGCTTTTTAAAATTTCTTTATCACCAGGACGTTAGAAGATTCCTTAGTTTTGCTTCATGTTGGTTAGGTGAAATTTCTGACCCAAGATGACCCCGATCAATCTTTTGTTTTGAGGAACATGCTATCTAGGGTAGTTTATAGCTTCAAATATCACAGTCGGCCTATCTACCGATCTATGCGTCGGCTCCTCAACCGGCGGCTGGCCGGGCGGCCGAGAGCGGGCCGTCGGCGGGCCGCCGGGAGCGGCGGCGCACTATTGATTGGCGGCGGCTGCGTGCGCAGCGTCCGGGCGAGAGGTCGGCGGACGGGATGTCGGTGGTCGGCTCACTCACGGCCACCGCCGCCGCCGGGCCGCAGGCGCGCCCGCCGCTCTCCGACCGTTGCAGGTACGTCACCACGCCTCTGAGCGAAAGGCCCAGGTCGGCCGCCGCAACCAGAAGCCGGCGGGTGTGCTTCACGTTTGGAATCACTCGGCTTTAGGCTTCTCGCGTTGTAGGGTACGAAACGAATGACAGGCTTCCTTGTTGTCTCTCTCTCTCCCCCTCTCTCTCTCTCTCTCTCTTCTCCCTCATCTTCGGAAGGCTCTCACGCCCCTGACCCAGGGTTCATCAGAAGATGCTGGAATGCATTGCAACGAAGTACAATGCAAGTCGACACCTTTGCGGAGGTTGGGAGCATGGAAAGGGTCGGATTGGGGATCGAGTTCCTACCATCCACTATGACAACACCGCATCAGGGAAAGTGGCAACGACCTTCATCTGTATGTTCAGCTGTGGGGCGGCTCAGAGGCCATTTTTGCACTGTGATCGTTCTAACAATGGGTGTAGAAGAACGCGGTTCATCAGGAATGTGTATCATTCGCACGTTGGCCCAAGAGTAGTAACCAACTGCGTTACGGCCATGCATGTCGTTGCGCCAGGCCAAGCAGCGTTCAGTGCTCACCGGGAGTGCAGTGCTCCTTGAGTTTCGAGGCCGGACGCACGCAAGTTTACCGTGCACCGCACTGCTCGCGCCCACAAGGCACGCACGCCGCTGTGCTCGTGTGCAGTGCACCGGTGTGCTCGCACTGTTTGGGCCACTGTACACGGCACGAGTACTGCGGTGCAAAGTTTGCGGCGCGAGTACAGCAGTGCAAAGTTTGCGGCGCGAGTACAGCGGTACAAAGTTTGCGGCGCGAGTACAGCGGTGCAAAGTTTGCGGCGCGAGTACAGCGGTGCAAAGTTTGCGGCGCGAGTACAGCGGTGCAAAGTTTGCGGCGCGAGTACAGCGGTGCAAAGTTTGCGGCGCGAGTACAGCGGTGCAAAGTTTGCGGCGCGAGTACAGCGGTGCAAAGTCTGCGGCGCGAGTACAGCGGCGCAAAGTTCGCGGCGCGAGTACACGTGGCCAGCGGCCAATGAGCGTCCTCTGATCGCGTCGATCGGCGCTGCTGGTGGCTGCTGTGCCGGAAAAACAAACAGGGCTGGGCTGGTCGCTGGAGCGCGTCCAACGCCCCCGGTGGAATGCACCCGGGCTCTTGCTGACGTGGCGGCGACCAGCTGCAGGACCTGGCCGACCTGGCTGACGCCGTGGCCCCGGCTGACCTGGCTGACGCCGCGTCAGTACACACCCCCGGGCCCCGACTGACCTGGCTAACGCTGTAACAGCACACACTCCCGGGCCCCGGTTGACCTGGCTGACGCCGCGTCAGTACACACCCCCGGGCCCCGGCTGACCTGGCCGACGCTGTAACAGCACACACTCCCGGGCCCCGGTTGACCTGGCTGACGCCGCGTCAGTACACACCCCCGGGCCCCGGCTGACCTGGCTGACGCTGTAACAGTACACACTCCCGGGCCCCGGCTGACCTGGCTGACGCTGTAACAGTACACACCCCCGGGCCCCGACTGACCTGGCTAACGCTGTAACAGCACACACTCCCGGGCCCCGGCTGACCTGGCTGACCCCGCGACAGTACACACCCCCGGGCCCCGGCTGACCTGGCTAACGCTGTAACAGCACACACTCCCGGGCCCCGGCTGACCTGGCTGACGCTGTAACAGTACACACCCCCGGGCCCCGACTGACCTGGCTAACGCTGTAACAGCACACACTCCCGGGCCTCGGCTGACCCGGCTGACGCCGCGTCAGTACACTCCCCGGGGCTGACCGACCTGGCCGTCGCCGCGGCCCTGGCTGACCTGGCTGACGCCGCGTCAGCTAGTTTCGCGAATTGCCACCGCCTGGGGTTTCCTTGTGCCTCACTCCGTCGAAAAATGGGGAAAAATTGTCGGATTGGAGGGAATTTAACAGAAACCGACACCGACATTGAGACTGCCACTGACCTTTCATTAATATTTTTTACGTGACATATAGTCACTACTTGCATAAAAGAACTTCAGGCATATTATCCAAATTCTCTTTCTCTGCAACTTCTCCTTCTCCTCCAAATTATCTACCGTATAACCTAAAAGTTGGTACCAAATTAATTTTTTCTGCGTTTGAAACACGCCGTGATGCTATCAAAGGCCAGCATTGAAGGTCAGGTCAAGGTTAGCGCGTGACTGGGCTGTAACATGGACTTTTGTGGGACGCGCGCTCTTTGCCTAGTCACGTGACCGGTTGCAACTCACACCGACCCGTCTAGAAACCGTCCGTGTTGTGGGTGTGTTCGATTATGACTGATTTGTCACAAATGGGAAGCGCTTGAGGCTTTCTACCTTATCATTGCTCCTGACTGTCACGACGCTGAATCATTGTATGCATTGACCAATGTCAAATCAATAAATTGGTGATGAATTGTATCAAAATGCAGTGGAGCATGATCGGGAATTTTGAGCGATTCTCTCCAGAAGCACAGACAGTGCTTCTGGTCAGACAGTGCTTCTGGTCAGACAGTGCTTCTGGTCAGACAGTGCTTCTGGTCAGACAGTGCTTCTGGTCAGACAGTGCCAGAAGCCAGTCCCTACTAGTAGCTTAATAGCTTCGAGGTATGACATCGCACCAAACTGTTCTGACAGCATGTGTCAAACGGGTGCCTTGACAGTCATGGAACATTTGGCGCATTTATCTTGCGCCGATCAGAAGCTGCTCAAGAAAACTGTGGGTGAACCGTTACGCCGTTATACGTTGTTTACCAGTTAAGGTTAGCCGTTACAACACTTGTGCATTGGTGTCTAGTTAACGGCAACAGCCGCCGGCCTGTTACCCCAGAGTATCAGCATGTTGGTGCTCTATAGCTATCACGGCGACAACGCTCAAGCGGACGCCTCCTGCCAGGCTGAGAGGCAGGCGACGCCATTCACCGTACTATATATATATATATATATATATATATGTAGCCTCACCAGCTGAGTGCGTCTTAAATCCCGAATGATAGCCATGACGACGACACAAGCGGCCGAGGGTTTCCCTATAAGACGTCACATAACTCAGCCCTGCGGCGCGTGCTCGGACTGCCCTGGCTTGCCATGCAGCAACAGATGCTCGTGTTCTGACTCTGGCCGTACTGTGGCTGACGTCACGGTCACAGCAGCCCACGCTCGGAGCTTAGCTTTTGTCCGCGCCAGCGCAGCAGCTCACTGTTGCTGCACTACATGTTTAGGCGGCATTGCGGCCCACATTGCTCGGACAGACACTGTGCTATCGGTATGGCCCGCACGACCCTGTTCCGGTGCCGGGGCTTCTGACCCTGACTTCGTTTGCACCGGGCGATGTCTCTGAGCGATCCGCTCTGACTTGATTACTGTGGAGAAGTGGTCGTTCGCCGCTGACAGTAGCCGTTCGTGTGGACGATTCACCGGTAAATGCAAACCCGCCACACGCACTGTCATGAAACACAAACATAGTGTGAGCGGATGTGGTTCAGTTCTCAGAGCCATAACAGCGATGCAGGTTGTTAGTACCTGACGCTGCCCGCGCCGCCCGTCGGCTCTAGCCCGCGCGACGGCAGTCTCGACCTTGCTGAAGGTCATCGAGTGAGTAAGGCAATGTGAACGATTGATTTATTGAATTCCAATGCCTCAGGTGCACTGTCGGAGCGTGCACACTTCAGCTCTGAAGCAACAGGTGTGAAATAAAGACCGCTTTAAGGCAAACAGAAACGTGGTGGGCTGCAGCTGAAACCAAATATCATTATAAAAATATCAGACCAAATATCATTGTCGTTTTGCAGATCTGTCTAGATTTGACAAACATTACGTCTGTCGACGTCTGATACAAAAGTTTTCTGAGGTCAACAGATGCCGAAAGCACATGCCGAAAACCTACGAAATCTCACTGCTGCGTAATTTGTCAAGTGCATTTGCGAGGAGCATTATGCACGTAAATAAGACAGCAGCAATAGCCTTATTTCTCGGGGCACAGCCAGGAAAATGGAGATATAGATGAGCTGATATTGCAATAACATGCCTTTATCGGAGCGAATAGCAGAAGAGAATTAAAATTGTCTGCCGAAGATCCTACTTGACTTTTCAGGTTTCTTATTGAAACAGCGACCCGCAGTTTCACAGGACACCAACATTCAGGGTATTTACAAGAAACAATTGCCAGCCATTACTACAATACAGTGTATACCTAAGAACTGAATACGCGAAAAATGCATGGAAATGCAAACGAATTGAAGTAAACAGGCATCACGCATCACGCTTCATTCGAGCATGCAAGTGAGTCGAAACAAACAGCCGTCACACATCACACATCAATTATGTATGCAAACGGTTTCCATTAAACAGGCATCGCACATCACGCATCAGGCATCACTTACACCTGTAAACGACTTTAAGCTAGCACACATCGCACATCAAGGCGCATTAAGTTCGCATATTCGGCAATGATAAATCCTGCAGGTTAGTGTTTGGTCGCCGGCTTTTTGTAAGAATAGACTCCCTTATTTCCTGTCTGGGTGCTCCTGTGCTCCACAGATTACTTTGATGTTTGACGATCTAATTTTTCATTTCGATAACCATTTTCGGCAAAACACGCTCAGGCTGAAATCCAGGGATCTATGGACTCTATATCCCTTTGGATCTTAAAGTCATCTGCGGAGCTCGGGACCACCCAGACAGGAAAATAAGTAAGTCTGTTTTTTTATAAAAAGGCAGTGATCAAACCTTAGCGTACAGTGCTCATTATAGCCGCTTATGCGAGCATGACATGTGCCTTGATGTGTGATGTGCGCTAGCTTAAAATCATTTACATGTGTAAATGATACTTGACGCGTGATGCGTGGCGCGTGTTTAATTAAAACCGCTTGCATGCATAACTGATGTATGACGTATGATGCCTGTTTGCTTTAACTCGCTCGCAGGCTCGACTCAGGCGTGATTCGTGATGCCCGTGATGCCCGGTCAAAGGTGATTCGTGTTTAATTGAATTAATTTGCATTAGCAGGTATTTTCTGCGTGTTCTTGTTCTCAGATGTGCACCCTATCTTAGCACTCGCTAGCGATTCCTCCTTGTTTAATCCTCTAAATGTCCGAGCCCTTTAAAAAACTGTCTCACTGTTTTCAAAACCTAAAAAGTCAGGTAAGATCATCGGGAGGCAATTTCGATTTCACTTATGCTATTCGTTTCGAAAAAGGCATGTTGCCGAAATTTCAACGCATCTACATCTCAACTCCGCTGTTTTTTTCTCTCCGAGGAATAAAGCTATTTCTGCTGTCTTATTTAAACCTCACTGTTGTTTGTTAAGTCTTTTCGGGATGTTAATGAGTCTTCATGTAGATAGACTGGCAAACGCCGGCGGCCTTTCCTCGGTGCGGAATAGCTGAAACACCGAAGCAGTCATCGCGTGTTGGCTTTTCTGAAGCCGCCCTGACCTGGTTCGCAGCGCGCTTGGGCCGGGATCAATGGAGGACAATGGACGGGGCAAATCTAGCGGCACCTCTGGCGCGTGACCGTGCAGCCATCAGGTGAAAGTGATATTGCGACCAGTAAGGCCGCTAGCAGAGATGACTCGTTTGATCTAAAATGTCTCGTTTGAACTATGAAAACTCGACTTCACCTGGCAGCTTGCTCTTCAATAGCGATTACGCTCTTTAAAACTGATATCTTTGTAGCGTTGTTCATTATCTTTAAAAGCGTTGGGCGCAAATTCATGCAGTTTTCAACAACAAGGAATGCTGTTGTTTTGCAAGTTGTTATTATTACCTGCGAGGCATTTGCCCGCAGGCAGTGTCATCGAGCGTGTTATTCTTGTAATATCGTCATCATCATCTCACCTCCTCTTTCGATATCAATTGCAAAGTAAAATTCACCAGTTGCGAGCAGCTGAGGAACGTGGATAGAAGCTGGCCCTACATATCGATGATCCGGTGCCGCTTCGGCGCGGGACTAAGAAGTGCTGGCTGAGGAGAACACAGGCATTCATATTGGTAAACGTGTGCGGCGATGTGTGCAGAGGCTCACGCGCTATCACGCGCAGGCCTCTGTTGGACGCTTCTTAAGAATGGTGCCCGATCTCAGCACTGTATGTTTTAATCAAACCAGTTGCATTTAAATACAATGGCGTTTGGACAAAGAGTTGTTTTCTTGGCATTTTCACCAGCGTGCTCGCGGATGATGAACGGACGGCCAGATGCGAACAGGAGACAAGCCCCATCATTATCAAGTGCTTGCATATCTCACTGTGATACTACGCTCACGGCAGCCGCCGGGTGAGATATTGTGATACCTACGCTCATGGCAGCCGCCAGAGGGAGATATTGTGATACCTACGCTCATGGAAGCCGCCGAGGGAGATATTGTGGTACCTACGCTCATGACAGCCGCCGGGGAGATATTGTGATACCTACGCTCGTGGCAGCCGCCAGGGGGAGATATTGTGATACCTACGCTCATGACAGCCGCCGGGGAGATATTGTGATACCTACGCTCGTGGCAGCCGCCAGGGGGAGATATTGTGATACCTACGCTCGTGGCAGCCGCCAGGGGGAGATATTGTGATACCTACGCTCGTGGCAGCCGCCGGGGGAGAAACCGGGCAGCCGCCGAGCTGGCCCGGTTCCTTGAGTGCGTGCCCGACGATGATCGCGTTGCGAACGTGTACCTTGCATGAGCACTAATAACCCGCATAAACATCGGCGGTAGCGTGCAGTGCAATAGTGCGATTGGCTGTAGTGTACATCCAAGCTCTGGTGGGTCTGGCCAGGCATGGCGAGCTCGTGTTTGATGATCCCTTACGGCGGTGACTGATGGCACAGTCCGTAAATAATTCCGCCCGGCGCCGAATTTCCTGATTCTAGGCGGGACAACGCATGGCCTGTGGACTGTGCGGAAGCAGATCGCTCATTTCTGAACTAAACACACCAGCCAATAGGCATGCATAGGCACGCGCACAAATACAAGCGCAGCCGCGCTGGTGGGCGTCGCGCTGTGCTGCGGACGTCATGCTTTGAAACGCTCGACACGTGACTGCTGTCACATTCTAAAGCGGGAACAGCGTTCGTTTGTGATCGCTTTTGGCCATACACCCCTCCCCTCTCTCCAAGAAATAGTTGGAATAGCGTCATAGCCCGCGGGAGTTTTGAGACCGGATCTGCTCATCAACTGATCATGCTCTCCGATGCCCAAAGTTAGTTTTCTACAATTGTGCTTTTGTTCTGACGTGCCGTTGACATCCTCAGGGTGGCAGTGCTACTGCCGTAACGCCACACCATGACGAAGAAGTTTGACTTTAACTGGCGCATACCGTGCCAGAGGCACTCACACAAGGCTGTGTGCTGGACAGGTGGACAGAGGTATGTGAACCGCCACAAGGCTGTGTGCTGTACAGGTGGACAGAGGTATGTGAACCGCCACAAGGCTGTGTGCTGTACAGGTGGACAGAGGTATGTGAACCGCCACAAGGCTGTGTGCTGTACAGGTGGACAGAGGTATGTGAACCGCCACAAGGCTGTGTGCTGTACAGGTGGACAGAGGTATGTGAGCCGCCGAGACAGGGCTGGGAAAGAGCAGCTCCGTATCGCCCTGCTCCTTTTATAGCTGACCACAAGGCGAATTTTTCTTTTAAAAATGGCGAAGCTGGTTAGTTTAAACAAATTATTTATCACATAACGACAAATGTGTGCCACCAGTATTGTAAAAAACATAGTAGACACGCAGTGAGAAACCTATATTCGCACGCTTTGGCGTTTGATGCGAAGAGGGTATGTGATGACAATCGAATCATGAGCATTCGACTCACGGTTCGGCGATACTTTGAACAAAGGCCAACTGGACTCTGAGAAAAGTCTGACTAAAAACACAATTCCTTACCGACCTCTGAATACCCGTGGTTGTGTCCTTAGGCCGTGTTGCTCAATGTTGCACTGGACACTGTTAACCAGCGAATGTCACCTGCCTGCGTAGGAGAAGGACAACGTCGACTTCGAGCCGCAGTGCCTGTTCCGAGTGGACGAGTATGGCTTCTTCATCTACTGGAAGAGCGATGGAAACGTAAGTCTTCAGCGGCTTGTGAAGCCACTGATCGTCTCGCCTGACCACGCCTCGTCGCGCTGTGTTATTATGCCTATCATTTGAAGGGCACTGGATGTAAAGATGTAGCACTGGATCTGAAAATCAGTAGCTCGAATTATGTGTAGCCTATCAGATTAATTCAAGTTCAATACATTCTACGTCAAGCATTTAAGTAATCCAATTTTAGTAATCTAAGCACACCGTAGTAAACTTTTACCTTTTATAATATTGGCATGTTTTACAGCACGCCAGTGGTTTTGATCGACAATAATTGATCCGCACAGAAATGCGGGCTAAAAATCTCAGTGCACGCGACGCCAGCTGAAGTGTGATTGCCATAAACCTTAATGTTCTAGACAATTTCTGTCTTCGAAGTGCCGGGTTCGCGACATGTCGGCGCAGACTTGCACGTTGCGGGAGCTGCATGGCTTCAGCGAAGCCAATCTCGTAAAAACCTGGCAGCCGCCCCCACCGACACGCCCTCGGGGCGAGCGATCTGCCGCTCCCGAGGGTGGGAGTGGCAGCGGGCCGCAGTCTGAGCGGCGGCGGAGAGGGATGGGGGAGGGGGGGGGGGGGGCGTGACGCGGCGTCTGACCGGCCCCGTTCGCCGGCAGGACGCCGATCTGCTGGAGCTCTGCCAGGTCAACGACATCAGGGCGGGCGGTTTGCCTCGGGTGAGCGATAGCCGCACAGCCGACGCCGGGGCGGTGGGGAGGGGTGGATGGTTCAGCCCGCCCCTCTACGTTCTGACGGGACCAAGCCCTCGGACTGCCCTTGCCAGTTAAACAGGCTCCGAGTGAGTTCGTTTGTCCAATAGATTGGCTGTATCACACTTTTTCATTGCTCACTTGTCTGCTTATTCGCCCCTCCGTCCGTTCGTTTCCATGCGCTAAATGCCCGTCCCATGGTACAGGTAGTTTGATACGATGATTACCTGTGACGGCTTGAGTGCAATGGGCGAACCACATTCTGCAGTATACTTATGCATCAAGCAAGTCTTTGGCAGAGGGGCTTTACGGACAGAGTCAGATCTCTTTGGACTACAGCATTGTTACGCAGAGCACTGGCCCGCCGTTTTAGTACATCGACGCGTAGAATGGCCTTGCCTTTGGCTATAGACCTAAGCTGGCAGGACAGTAGTTTTATATGGCAGAACGCTCCACAGAACTGTGCTATTTTTCCCAGGAAAATCTTATATATGATCCACTATTGCTCTGTCTGGTGCGTTCGTTCGTGTTCCTTGCTTCACCAATCATGTTCTTGAGTATTTACCTCTGATGAATCAAGGTAAGGCTGTGACAAGAAGCGGGGCCCGCCCCAAAACTAAATTATTGCTTTAACGTCTACTACTAGACAACCTTTCTATAATCAGCCCTTTTCCGATAACTAGGTCGACCACCTCACATACCCAGTAAAGCTGCAGATATAAGCTAATTGGGGCGCCCTTGAGCGAGCCGGCCGATCTTGGACCGTGACCCCTGTCCGCGTCCAGAACCTACCACTGAGCGAGCTTGCTGGCGCCGCAGGACCCCAAGCTGCTGAACCAGTTGCAGGCGCGCCACGGGGCTGACCTCGAGGCCAAGTCGCTGAGCATCTGCAGTGGCACCGACATGGTCAACATCAACTTGCAGCACGTGATCCTGCCCGATGTGGAGACGGCCAAGGTCAGTGCAGGTCAACTGCGGCGCCGCGGGCGATGCCGGTCAGTGCCCGTCCGGCTCGATGCGCGCAGTGGAATCGTTTCGGACGCGACGCTGGGAACGGCGTCCGCGCTGTATATGCGTGGACGAGGAGGCACGGGTAATTTGATGGCTTAAATAGATCATTTAAGCTTTTTAAAAAAGAGGTATTCGAGCATCCGTAAGACAGCTTGCGCTGACTAAAGCAGGCCACTTGCCTCCAGCTCCATCCTCTCGAGAATCGGCGCGTTTATTCAAATGTGTCTAACACTAGCGCAATGATGGTTTAAAAAAAACACAGCCCTGACTTATTGCTTACAGATATTTCATCTTAACAAGACTAAGCATAGATAGTTAGCTTAACTAAGCAAGGGGACATAGATAAGACATTACCAATAGCCTCATTCATCATAGAATAGCCAGAAAATAGAGATATAGATGTGTTGATATGTCGGTTGTATGCACTTATCGGAACGAATATGAATATCCTCTGATTAATGAATACCTACTGATATTCGCATCGATAAAGGCATGTAACAGAAATATCAATGCATCTATCTATACGTTCTCCTGGTTATTCTACGAGGAGGAAGGTTACCGGTATTGTCTGGTCCATATGCATTATGTTTCAACAGCTTTCGGAATTCTGGAGACTATGAAGTGCGAGCTCTGAGCCAACAACTCGCTCAAAACATATGCGCTGTTTACATCAATTCATGAAGGTGCATCACTATTTCAGTGATATATAGCGATTTCATTCGTGCTCACGTACCGTATGTACTCTTTCTCATTCGAGAAGGTTGTGCTTCTATTATGACATGCAGCTTAGAGCTCCTTTCCAAAACGGCAAAACTCGTCCTATGGACGATTTGGAATTCCTAACCAATATGGTAACTCCTGTCGGAGGTAACGTAACCACATGTACCGACGCAGCGAAGTTGGTTTCCCGATTGTGACGGCCTCGTTGAGGGAACCCCATCGGCGGGCTGGCTGGTGCAGGCCGGCCGGACCAGGCCCGGTGCTGTCCGTGACATCAGCGTCATTGTCCACCAGGTATGGCTGTCAGTTCTGCGCGCCGCCACACATAACACGAAGCCAATAATGTGTGCCCCATGACATGTCTCATCAAGCAGTAAGTCCCGCCACGAAGATTTCCGGGCTTGAGCCGAGCTTCGCAAGCATTTCGGCCTAATTTCAATACTGTTTTCTCTTTCTCTGTTGTGAGTTTTTCCTTTACGCCACTGGTCTGTTGTTACTCTGGGTATACGTCCCGTAAAAGGTGTGTGCCTCATTATGCTGTTTCTTGTATCTGGTTTGTGTAATATTTTTTCTGTCTCTTGCTCCTTAAAACACTAATACTTGGGTCAGCGGTTTTGAATGCGTGCTTGGGTACTCTCGTTTTTTCTATTATCCCTTATATCCTCCATGCATTGATGTCTAAATGTGATGCATTCTGATCGCGAACCAGTTGGAAAGACGTGCACGCTGCATGCCGTGTTGTACGAGCCGAGGAACACTTCACGGGGTTGCTGTGGAGTATGTGTGCTGCGCGGTGCTATGCTTCCTCTTCAGCTCCTGTCCATGTCCTCTCTGTAGCCCGAGTGTGTTGTCAGACGTTTTACTCCTTCCTGGTGTGGATAAGCTCGATCCGCCCCACCTTCTAGCAGATTCTGAACGCTTTACGTTGAGGGTTTTCCCAGCCTCTTGAACGATGGGATTATGACACTCCGCTGCACTACACGCTGACCACCGGCACCAGGCGGACTCACCTCGACTGCACCTGGGATTGTGACACTCCGCTGCACTGCACACTGACCACCGGCACCAGGCGACTCACCTCGACTGCACCTGGTATTGTGACACTCCGCTGCACCGCACACTGACCACCGGCACCAGGCGACTCACCTCGACTGCACCTGGGATTGTGACACTCCGCTGCACTGCACCACTGACCACCGGCACCAGGCGACTCACCTCGACTGCACCTGGGATTGTGACACTCCGCTGCACTGCACACTGACCACCGGCACCAGGCGACTCACCTCGACTGCACCTGGGATTGTGACACTCCGCTGCACTGCACACTGACCACCGGCACCAGGCGATCTCACCTCGACTGCACCTGGTATTGTGACACTCCGCATGCACTGCACACTGACCACCGGCACCAGGCGACTCACCTCGACTGCACCTGGGATTGTGACACCTCCGCTGCACTGCACACTGACCACCGGCACCAGGGACTCACCTCGACTGCACCTGGTATTGTGACACTCCGCTGCACTGCACAGCTTGACCACCGGCACCAGGAGACTCACCTCGACTGCAACTGGATTGTGACCACTTCCAGCTTGCACCGGCACCACTGAACAACCGCGGCCCACCAGGCGACTCCCACCTCTCGACTGCACCTGGATTGTGACACTCCGCCGTGCACCGCACCACTGACCACCGGCAACCAGGCGACTCACCTGCGACTTGCACCTGGGATTGTTGACACTTCCGGCTGCCACTGCACCACTGACCAACCCGGCCACCAGTGCGACTACACCATCGACTGCACCTGGATTGTGACACTCCCGCGCTGGCACCGCACACTGACCCACCGGCACCAGGCGACTCACCTCGACCTGCACCTGGATTTGTGACACTCCGCTGCACACCGCACACCTGGACCACCGGCACCAGGCGACTCACCTCGACTGCACCTGGGATTGTGACACTCCGCTGCACTGCACACTGACCACCGGCACCAGGCGACTCACCTCGACTGCACCTGGTATTGTGACACTCCGCTGCACTGCACACTGACCATCGCCACCAGGCGACTCACCTCGACTGCACCTCGCCCGGAGGCGTGAATATGGACAGGTTTACAGAACACGGCGAGGCCAAGCTTTGTGCCCAACTGAGCACGACGGTATTCCTGCACGCTTGTTTGATGATATCAGATGATCTCCGATGATAATCATTCCTGTGAACCAACGATAAGGCTTCGGGTCCGAGGCTAGAGTCATGGTACATATGTATGGTATGGTAGCACTGCACACCTCTCGTCTATACCAGGGACTACCTGTGCTCACTGGAGTCCTACGTACGCCTATGAGTCAACACACAGGTGTACAGATGCATACACCCTTTACTGGTAAATATTGTCGTGATAATAACAAGATTTCATGGGACCCAACGCCATCAATCAGCTTGGTAGGAATGCTCGAGGCGACATTATGGATGGCAGAAATCTAACGTCGTTGTTTTCGCATTCCATTCTTATGCATAGGAAAGGGCTTCACTCGCAGTGCTGTCAGGATTTCCGACAGACCACGCGTATTCCAACGTCCACACGAAAATTGCAGGGGAGAAAAATAATGAGACTTGAGTATTGAGCGAAGCCCTCAGAGAGCATGTCGATTGCTGGATCATGTGCTGCGTTACAGCCGATTGAAGTAGTCAATTGCTTATTGTTTGCCTGATATTTGCCGCCTTGTTGCATGCAGACTTGGCAGACCGGGCTGCGAAAGTATCACCAACAACAACAAATCAATAACGCGTGCGTGCGTCAAAACTTGGAGAAGCAGTAAGTGTACCGCACTCGTAATGCTGATAGCAATGGCCTCGCCAACCCTGTACAAGCAAAGCAGTCTCCAACATCGTTGAGACTCCGCCCCCCCCCCCCCCCAACCCCACTCCCATCTGCACCAGGAAAAACGCTCTCTTCATCCCGTATACCACATCTGTTGTGGCCAGTACCCATTCTGCGTAACCCGACATTACACCTGTCGCCACCACACCGTCATGTCTACATGTCCGAACATCCCAGCCATCGTCGCAACCACGAGCCACGACATCCGGCGTGCCAGTCGGGGTCATTGCTCGCGTCCCCGCACCGGGTGCCCACACTCAGCGTCGTTGTCACGACCCGCCCGCTGCCTCTCCAACACCTTGTGCCGACGCCGGTCGTCGCCGTTCTCCTCACTGGCCCCTTGCACTGCGCAGTCTAGACAAGGCAACCAGCAGCCCCCACTGGTTTTGGAGAACCGTTAGAGGTAGCGGAACAGCCTGATGCACTGGGGTTGTCGAGCAGGCTGATAGACTGAGATAGAGGAACAGGCTGGTAGACCAAGGTAGCGAACAGGCAGGTAGACTGAGGTAGCGGAGTCGGCAGACAAGAATCACAGAGCGGCTAGCAGACTCCCGGCAGCTAGGCAGCGATACCCTGCGATGGAGATCAGCCTCGCAGCTGCTTTTGCAGCAGGGGACGTACAGTCAGTTCTAGACGCTCCATTGCGCCGGTTCGCCCTGACACTGAAGATCGTGTTGAGCCGTGTGATCCAGACACTTCTCCAGCCGCACTTGAAGGCAAATCGACCTCCGGGTTGTTTCGCGCTGACAAGGAAAGACGGAGCTCCACGCGGGAGATAGCCAAGGACAGATGGAGACAGAGGAGGGGGAAAGCGATCAAACGAGCAAAAAAGGAGAGGTGTTGTGTGTTTGTGTGGTGTTGTGTGTGTTTGTGGTGTGTGTGTGTGTGTGTGTGTGTGTGTGTGTGTGTGTGTGTGTGTGTGTGTGTGTGTGTGGGTGTGGGTGTGGGCTGGGGCGTGGGCGTGCGTGGGCTGGGCGTGGGCGTGGGCGTGGCGTGGGCGTGGGCGTGGGCGTGGGCGTGGGGCGTGGGCGTGGGCGTGGGCGTGGCGTGGGCGTGGGCGTGGGCGTGGGCGTGCGTGGGCGGGGCGTGGTGCGTGGGCGTGGGCGTGGGCGTGGGCGGGGGTGGGGTGTGGGAGAGGGAGCAGAAAGAACAGAGGAGAGGGTAGAACGGAGAGAGAAATAGTAGGATGGCAGAGGGAGAGATAGGTCCCAGAGAAGAGAGAGGTTGTTAGCGAGACAGAGGGACAGATTGAGTGGGACAAAGATGAGCGAAGATAGAGCGGGGAAGGAGGGTAGGGGCGAAGAAAGAAAGAGGACAAGTCGGTAAGAGGACAGAGAAGACAGGTCAGGCATCCAGCACACGTTTTTTCACGCCCACTATTCACATTGTATTTGATTAGATAGTCATTCAGGTCGCCCGGGCCGGTTACGGGGCTCTGGGACTAGGGGCGAGACGTGCACGTCAGTAAATGGCAGCTAGTACCCAGAGCAGGCAGGTGGCGGACGGGACCCCCCAGCACCTACACGCCCAGTGGCGCAGATGCGGTCGGGCGCAACGCAGAAGCCGCGGTTTTCCTCGTGCTTGTTCCTGGTAAAGCCCGCTGCGGGGTCGGCCCCTGACAACTGGCTTTAGCAATATCGTGCTGGTGGACGTTGCTTAATGGCGCCAAATGGATCCAGACGGTCGGCCGGACGCAGGAAACGGGCCCCAACACGTGCGCTGAAGCCGTCGCGGTGCCGGCGACACTCGGAGGGGCGCCGCCGGGGCGAGAAGGGAAGCCTCGGACCCGGCACTCGCAGGGCTTCGTAGACCGGGCCGAAGCTTGTCGCTCTGCAGGCCGTCCGTCGGGTCGTGTATGACATTAAGTCACGTGTTTTGGCAGTGCTGTTGGTATTAAGACACGCGGGAGGTTGCCCGGCCTCAATAACGTTCAAATACATGCATAGCCAGTAGTTCGTTAACTGTCGGATGGCAGAAGTTTTGGAGGTTGCCCGTTGCGGTCCACACCAAGCGCTCAATATTTTCGTCGGACATGATGGCGTGGAAGCCATCAATTTCCTAATAACGGGTTGGAACTAATCTGACCAGCAACTGGTCGCCTATATTCATCACTGACGGAGCAGAAGGCACGCAACTTTTAGCTGAAATAGTAATAGGCAGGCCGGCCCCCGCCTAGCCGGTTAGTCATCGTGTCTGTAAGTCCGGTGTAACCCCGCGATTAATTAAATAACAACAGGTCTCACCGTGGCGTGTCTAATCTCACGGTTTTGTACAGACCACCTTGGGTCGTTCTACTTTAACTGCCTAGCGGGGTCCTTTGCTACCAACCTTGATGGGCACCTTATGACCGTGAACCAAATTCTCTTCATCGGTTGGGCGGAGCAGGTGACTGGAAGATGCCTGACGACCGCCACGTGCCGCACGGCATATCTGTCACGTACTACCAGAGGCGCAGCCAGAATTCGTGACGGGAGGGGCTACCACGACTTGGGA